TCAAGTAATCGCGCTAATAATGGTTCCATTCATAAAATACGACAGTTCAAAAAGGATTTCACGTGTGCTATTTATCTCGACAACTGAATGTTAAAATTCTGTATCGATACGTCATAATTCATAAGCAAATAATTCGACAGAAAAAAGAAGGTGACTTCGTGACTGTCATATCATATGAAATTTCCTCGCGAGGAAACGTTCAATTTACGCTCAATTTCTACATTATTTTATATCATATAGTTTCAAGATTTAAAATAGAAAGCGTAATCAGCTTTAAATCAATATAAATATAAGTGCATCAATCAAATGCAATCAAAGTGCATTTTTTTATAATCCAAAAGAATATCTTACAAAATATAACTATCTACAAATATAATATTTTAACAAACATTTGGTTTCAGCATTATGTCATTTCTTGTGTAATACTTTCATTCATTATGCTGATACAGCACTCCACGATGAAATATACATAACTTAATTATGTCGAGCGATAGTTACTTGATTGTAATCTTCAAATATCTTTAATCGAACTGGTCCTATTTCAAATTTAGGCACAGTTTAATTTCAAGAAAATATAATTATGAAAATCCTATCGTGTGTGTTGTGCGTGTATGATACACATAACAATACTGAAACTTAGTTAAAAACTATTAAAAGATGACTATCCTTTAATAAGAAACTTTCGATTTTTTGCTCTATCATATTTATCCGTATTTTAATTTATGACTAACAAAAATCAGCGTTGTTGGCCAGAAAAATATTCACTCGTCCTGTATGATCGATAAAATTATCCGTATTGATGGAATTATACTCATTTCGAACAGAAAAATGATTCCTAGTGATATTCCGTAGTTGGAGTCACATTGATCATGTCAGCGGTGCTAAAAAAAAAAAAGAGAGATATGAATAATTGTGAAAGAAAATTTGCAAGTGATTTTCTTTTTTCGGCTTGCTAATGAAATAAAACCCAATAATAAAAAAAGCACAGGGAAAATCAAGAAGTTCCGAAATGTGATCAAACATGTAAATCAGAAATATATACTTTAGCAAATTTAAATAAATGTTTTCCTTTAGGACATGCGACATGCTTTTTACAATATACATTAAATTCGAATTGGATTGGAGTCAGCATTATTTTTTGACGGAAAAAAATTTCCGTAATGCTAATTTTTTAAAGCTATTGCAAAACTTGTATCTCAATTTTCACTCAATTTTATATATCAATATCATACACAAAAATGTGAACAAGCGCATTGCTTATTTCAAAATTTGATGTCTAAAATTCATATACGTATAAATATACATAAAACACAGAAATACACAAAATAAGCACATAACAAAATCTATTTGAACAAACAATTTATTACAATTATATAACAATTATATAAATTGTTTTATCTTTCTATTATTTATATACCTATTACAGTTATATAAATAAATCAACAACGTTGTATTAAAATTACTTCTATTATTTAATAAAAAAAATTGAGAAATAGAGCAGGAAAATGCAGACAAAGCATACAATACACGAAATATGACCAGTCGCACCATTAGCAATTTTAGCGATCGATTATTAGCAGAATTTCTGCTTGAAATCTCTTTGTATTATTTTGTTAAAAAAAAACAAAAACAAAACAAAAAAAAACGAATATTCAATTACACTGACAATTTCTTGACATTCTATATTGGAAAAATGCTAAAACTTTGTTCGATTGATCATATTTCATCAAGGCAACATTTCACATATCAATTATAAAGGCTAGACATAAGACAATATCACAAACACTTACAAGAACATACATTGGTGCTCTAAGAATATTTTCTTGTAGTCGTCTTTACATTAGTTTGCTGTATAACATATATCAGATGTTATATTATGACTCACATTACGAAAAGAATATATTAATTATATATCTCTGTGTCGATCTAATTCCAGAGATTATCTTAGCTAAATCACAAGTGATTACATCATTGCCACATATTAGATTGTGCATTCTTGGTATTATACAAAATTTTGTGAACATATATCTTAATTCTTTATATGATTGTATTTATTACTTTGCATTAATGTTTCCCTTCACCATATAGAGGATGTTATTAAATAAGTTATTAAATAAGTTTTGTTATTTAGACGGACAAGTGAAAGGGATAAAAAAATGTGTTAAAATATTTTTACCTCTTAGAACATTTAATATGTATAATAAGTAGTGCTACACCTAGTAGTAAGCACAAACTTCCCACAACAATGTAAGCGATACCAAGGAAAGGATTCTTCCCTCCTAGAAGTGAGGTCGTACTTAAAATCATCTTTTTCTTCCCATGGAAAGAGGATACTGAAAATGCTGAAAAAAATATCAGATCATTACTTTCAATTTTCTCGTTTTACATTTTAGATTAAATATATGCGAAAGATATTAACTTTTAATTCTTAAATTTACAATCATAAATAATTTATCATGTTTCAATTTGTTTAGATCACTTACAATATACAACATTAAGGGAGTAGTTTCCTGCAAGTAGACCATTTATAAAACCATCTTCAGTATGATCAACTCTACGATAGAGTTTTCTAAAAGTAGGCAATGCAGCAGTTCTCATCCATACAATTAAATCCTCATTTTGGAAACCATTGTTACTCTCATCATATTTATCCAATTCGTAAATGGGTTTAGTCCAATTTTTAGGCTTAGCAAAACCTTTGAATGCTTCTTTTAAATTTGGATATCCTTGTGGATTTTTGAATTTGATATTTTTATCAGATGGCCAAGCAATGCCAGTTTTTAATAACGGTACAGGCCCATTATGCTTTGAGGAGTACAGCGTCAACTCATCACTAAAAAGTGAATTTGCGATAGCACCACATGGAGCAATGGGAATTTTAGTATCATTCACTTCTTCATAGGCGAATGGTTCACAATCACTCGAAACAGTTTCACTTAGCTCTCCCAACAGCTGACTGTCGTCTCGAGATTTCACATATCTACGATGATTCTGATAGAAATTTGTCAGGCCATAATACATGTAAACTTTGCCACCAAATTCTACAGGCAGCTCAAAATTTATCTCGCACTTGCATGTTCTAATTGGATTCATCGCAATCACATCTGCACATTTCATAGGCAACCCATTTACATCAGTAATATTAGTAGAATTGCAATTGGTATAATCGATGATGTGTTCCTTAACTTCATCAGAAAAATAAAGCAATCCTATACCAACTGGTATAAATGCAACTCCTATCACAAAGAAAGTCGGTAGAACTGTACCAGCTGTAAGTATTGGTTGCCAGGCTGGTAAACGCTGCTGCTTAAATGCACTGTCTATATATAGATAAATTAAATCATATATTAATATTCAGGTGTTATGAATATACTAAAAAAATATATATATAATATCAACATGAAATAAATGTTTCTTTTTCTAATTTTTTCGGACACTGTCTATATGCTAGCAATTCCTTGATAATGATAATAAAATTGCTTAGATAATAAGAAGAGTTTAAGATAATTTTCTATAGATCAATATATCCTTGCATTATCTTTTGGAGATTTTTATTCTCTCTTCTATAATAAAATACTTAAATTATGATCGACAAAAAAATAAATGAAAGAAATGAAATATTATACAAATATATCTTCGCATCATCTCAGAGATTTTTATTCATTCTTTCGTGAAACATTTTTCATAATGAAATACCCAAATTGTTTCACAAAAAATAAATCAAAGAAATGAAATAATATATTATTTACAATAATTATATAGTTAATGCATTTTATAAGTGAACTATACATAGAAGCATTTTCATAAATGTTGGTTGGTTGACTAATATATGATTTTGCAATTCTCTTCTGTTAACTTTAAAAATATATAAAATTAAAAATTTTATAATTTTAACGAAAATAACTAAATAATCAAACTAGTTCGCAATATATTGTTTAAAGGAGTCAGAGGATGATAAAATTGTATTCGAACTTGTCTCGTTGTCATCGTTCATCGAGTAAAATATAGGATGTCTCGGGGAATCCATCGGAGGGGAATTCGTCGACGTGGTTGCTAAATCAAGATCTTTTTTAGCTTCTTGCTCTTTAACGATCGCTGAAATGCTCACCCGATGGTTTTTTTGATTTAGGCACCGCATCGACTTCGCTGATGGACGTCATGATTCAATGACACCACCAACACTTGACAGATCTCAATAAATTGTGTCGAAATGAACACATCAATTACTGCGAAATCCAATCATTAGTGCTCGTTTTCATTGGACGAGCAAAGGTCAGTACGTATGTATGTCTGATACGTAAGGTCAATAGGTACGTTCAGCAGACTGTTGTACAACTGTTGAGTAAAGCCGGCGGCACACGATGCTTTTTTGGCTGCTGAATTGCTTGTGTGCTCCTGTGCTGGCTATTTTGCTGGCTATTATGCTGGAAATTGTATAGCCTGCTGGCTGGTCTGCTGGATTTTTATGATAAATCCGGTGTTATTTTCTTGCGTGGTCTTGTGCTGGCTCACTTTGAAAACCAATCAAGAAACAGTTTTAGATCACGTGATCAAAAATTCCGTTTGAATATCAGATATTCTATCATTCCTTTGCTGCAATTTGTCAAAGTAGAAGAAAATAAATATGAAATATACGAAAGAAAAGAATAAATAAATAAATAAGTAAATAGATAAATATATCAAGTGCCTTCTACAAAATTCTAGCTGCTCAGCCAGCACGAAAACTTGCACTGTATGAAGCTAAACTAGCGAGCAGCATCGCTGTCAGCAGCACTGCCATCATGACAGCAAGCAATGTAAAACCAACAAGAAATCCAGCAGCCAAAAAAGCATCGCCGTGTACCATCGGCTTAATTCGTCAATGTAATTGGTCCAAATTTAAGGATTTAACTAGGTAAAAACTAATAATTACTGACAGCTCATTGATCACTTTGTTCTGCTGAATACGTCCCAACATATATAATGAATTAAGTATCGCATTAAATAAACACACACCTGTTGTGGAATGATAGGAACTATTGGCGCCCAATTGCCGATTGATCAATAAATATTAGATCTTTTGATGGATGATTCACTAAAAAATTCTTAAGGTACGTTCTCAGCTATTCTATACAAATCCGCGATAAATGTTAAATTTAGAGGCGTTATCTTCAATTTCGATAAAATTAGACTCATTCGATGTGTTTTTACACGAAAGACTCTAGCAAAGAAAGTGTTGCTCTACCCCGCAATCCGAGATATTAATCGTTAAAAACTTAGCGCTGCTGGATCACATAAAGAAAACAAAACAATTTAAAGTAATATATTTAATCTGAATAACATTCTGAGTTACATTGAATGCTGTTCAATTCAATTAGAATTGAATTGAATTAAGTATCCAAATTTTAATTTCAAGTTTTTGTCCAAAATAATTAATATACAAACAAAATTTAAAAAATATGCAAAAATTAGCAAACGACTAGCAATCCAATAGCGTTGATGAAAGGGATCCGATAACGCACAACGCTGATTGGTCAATTAAATATAAAATTTTCTGATTGGTGGTCCATTGGAAAATTCCTAAGCAGCAGCTAATGTGAGTGGATGTGTGCTATCGCACTATGCGCTAACGGAACCCACCTCACGCGATTTCTCATGTTCCATTTCTGTTATTATTACGCATGAGTGTGACGTATAACATTATAAAGCGACGTCTACAATGAGACTTTAAGAGGCGTAGATTTAGAAATTGACCAATCGCAATCGATTATTCTTCTATAAATTGATTATGATTGGCCAATTTCTTAAGCCTTACGTCTTAAAATCTCGTTGTAGACGCCGCTTAAGTGATAGTGTTTGTTTGGTTAAGGATAGATAGATCAATCTTCTTCTTTTCTTTGAAGGACAATTTCAGCGAGATCGTCTTTTCAAATTTGTCGTTATAACACATTTCCAACATGATAAAGCATAAATTACCGAAAGATTGGATTGTTGTTAATTCTAAAAGTCATCCGGACAGAATATATTACTTCAATGTGAAAACAAATAAGTCTTCGTGGACTCAGCCAACATTGGATTCAGCTAACGACACTGATGAGGTATTTCATTTTATAATCTACTTTTCTACTATAAAATATATCGAATTTTTTTTTTATAATCTTGATCTAATGTTTAAAAGTTTCCAATTCGCTAAAACATTTGTTACATAGACATTGCCAGCAAAAAAAACGTAAAATTGACGAAGGAAAGGCACATTGCAGTGCTATAACACCTGAACACAGTATTGAGAAAGGAAAATCAATCTCTCATGAATCAAATGACAAAGTTGTAGAAACACCACAGATGAAATTAATTAGAGCAAAAATGCTGCAAAGAGTATCTGCCAAAAATAAATCTTCTGTCTTATCATCAGATGTGTTGAATGTAAAGTTGGCAAGAAAAAACTCTTCCTCAAAATTAAAGGATAGCAAATCAGTATCAAAGGATGATGAGTCAGTATCTCAAAATAAAAAAGATAAAGAAACACCACAAATGCGTTTTTTTTATGAAAAAATTCAGTGGAAAAAGAAAAATTTACCTATTTCAAATAAAAATCTATTATCAAAGCAAAATGTTAAACAGCAAGATTCAAACATCACAAGTCAAAAAGCAATGAAGACATGGGAAAAAGATGTACGACGCCGAGAAAATATTGATCGGAATAAGAACAATATTGAGTGCCATGTTTCAAGTAAATATATAGTTATATATGTTCAAGTATTATATATTATTGCTATAGAGAATTAAAATGAATTTTGAATTTAGAAGGAAGAGAACAGAAGTCTTTCTTAAAGAAAAATTTGGCCATGGAACGTATGCACAAATTAAGAAGGAATATGAATTTTGACAAGGAAAAATTAAAAGAAATATGTCATTCTAATTTGGTCATCACAAAACCTCCACAAAAATCTAGTAAAAGTTCATCCAATATATCTGGTAGGCATATAAAATTTTATATTTTTTGTATTTTTATTTTCTATAAAGAGAGTTTTCTTTGAGAATTTAAGATATATGTTTATATTTTTTAATATTTTTATATTCACATATATATTACTTATAGGTAATGACAGTTTAGGAACATCTTGTCTTTATAGAAATGTTGAATTTAGACTTAAAAGATTACATAATAGAATTATAAAAAATACAATATGTGAAAAAAATGTATTAAATGATGAGAAATCACAAGATCGACAAGACAGCAGACCAAATATTGATAATACAACAAAAGATAAATTATTAAAACAAGCTAAACAAGAAATTTTAGATGAAGAAATGGATTGGGAACCAATAAAGGATGAGCAAATTGCACTGGAGGTAATGTCAGTATAATTGAAATATATATGTATACATACGTGCGGTATGTGTGTGTGTATATATATATAT